TTGATCGCCCAAAGTTACAATCCCCTCACTAGGTCTATTGCTACTAAAATTACACTCCATATATTCAGTTTTAGATCTACTCAAGTGAAAACCTTTAGACTCTAAGATTGACCTCCATAATTCAATTTTACCTTCAACTCTCTCTCTAGTCTTATCAACAAGAAGAATATCATCAGCAAAAAACAAACACCAAGGTACATCCTCTTTCAAATGTCTAGTCAGAACATCCATGACTAAAGCAAAAATATATGGACTTTAGACTGATCCTTGATGTAATACAACCGAAATAAAAAAATACTTTGTCAAACCACCTTGTGTTTGAACACAAGTAATAGCTCCTGCAAACATATCTTTAATTATTTGGATATAAGCGTTATTAACTCCTTTCATTTAAAGAACACTCCAAAGTACTTCTCTTGGAATTTTAGCATATGCTTTCTCTAAATAAATAAATATCATATGTAGATCATCCTTCTGTCTATATTCCTCCATCAAACCTCTCAATAAATGTATGGCTTCCATAGTAGACCTACCCGGCATGAATCCAAATTGATTTTGAGAAACATTAGTATCATGCCACAACCTATGCTCCATAACTCGCTCTCATAGTTTTAAAGTATGACACATTAACTTAATTCATCTATAATTCGCACTCCTGTGCATCACCTTTATTCTTAAAAATATGAATTAACACACTCATTCTCCACTGAGCTGGCATCTTATATAATGATGCATGTTATATATTGATATTAAAAAAAAAGGTGATGTGGAGTTAGCTCTAAAAAAATGCATAAAGGTAAAGCTCTAGGAACCTACACAAACAAATTTGGAGAGTTATGATAGATATTACAATGGTTTAGTTAATAACATTTTTTCAATAAATTTTTGAAGACTAAGAGAAATATCAAATAATTATAAAAGAAGCATTTTAGTACCAATATTTAAGAACAAAAGAGATTATTAAAATTATATTAATCAGAGGAATCAAACCTATGAGCCATAAAATGAGGGAATGAGAGAATGTAATGAAGCACGTGCTTTGAAAATTATGTCATTGTTGGAGAACTAATTTGATTTCATACTAGAAAGATCCATAAATGTGATTTTTTAAGACGACTAATGAAAAAATATAGAGAATAAAGAAAATATTTTCAAATTATTTTTATTGATCATGAGAAGACATGATCAAATATCATGAGAATTAAATTGGTGTGCATTAAGGAATAAAAGGAGAATGTCAAGGGCATACTAAAGTGATTAAAGATAAATATGATGGAACACAAACAACTATTAGCAGTTGTTAGTGACAAAAATTCATTTTTAATTATAATAGAATTATATCAAAGATCAACATGTGTCCCATATCTTTTTTGTACTAACTGCAGAGAAACTTGCAAAGGATGTTCAAATTGAGGTGCTTTTTGTATGCACTTTTCATATGGCAAAAGCATGTTCCAATTGAGGTACCTTTTGTATGCACTTTTCATATGGCATAATTCTACTTGATATGACACCCATTAAAATAAGTGAAAATTTAAAATAATGAAAAAACTATTTAGAAAACAAAAGATTTAGAATTAGTAATATAAAGCACGTACATATGATATACATTTTGATATATGTGATGAGAACAATTATTAGAATATAAAATGATATCTAAACATGATATTTTAAGTATCCAGAATTTATGATATAGAATAATCGAGATATAATTAGAGCATATAATGAGTAAAGGTTGGTAGAACTATTTAAAATTGCATAATATGAGGGACGCCTCAGATTTTTCTTCTTCTTCTAAAATTTAGCCATGAGGCACATGCCTGATGGCAAATAATGTGAGTCACACCTCGTATCAGTATTTCTGAGGTATACGCAATTCAAAGTCAGTCTTTTTAACAAATATTACTAAATAAAATTTAAAAACCTTCTATTATCTAATCTTATCACTCATGCCTCACGTTGAAAGTATTCTCAATTTCATGAAATACCTGAACCATGGTGCTCAAGCTCATTTCCTCTCACGCCTTCCCTTCTTCGATCCTTTTCAAGCACACCTCCGCCTCCGTCTATTGCAATCGTTGCCACCGCCACCTCATTGCCAAGTTCTCTTTCTCCAAAAGATATCTTCCTCCACCACATATGTTCTTCTTTTGGTGAATGTCCTTAAACCCTTTTTTTTTTCTTTCCTACCTGGTTTCTTTACTTTGTTTATTTAGAGTTTCTTGATTATTTGAACATCCACATGTTTAAATTTTTTTAATTAAAATTTTCATTCTAGGGTTTTGTAAGAAATGGTTAAAAAAAGGAGAAATTCACAATGGGTCATAAAAAATAATTGGCATGGAAACATAGTGTGCAAGTTGATTTTGGAAGGAATGACAAGACTTATGTTTAACTAAAGTGTAAAGATTAAGAAATGGTTAAAAAAAGGATAAATTCACAATGGGTCATAAAAAATAATTGGCATGGAAACATAGTGTGCAAGTTGATTTTGGAAGGAATGACAAGACTTATGTTTAACTAAAGTGTAAAGATTGAGAAAATGCTGTTAAGATGGGGTGTTAAATGAATGATCAAACATCTTTTTGGCTCTCACAAGAATAATGCACAATCTACCACGATGCCGACGGCTGTGAAAAAGAAGATTCGTGCATATATAAATAAGATGACAATGTCAAAGCATTTAGCACAACTACAATTCGATGATATATTATATGTTGGTTCTTTCAACGGCTAAGGGACTAGTGCAAAGATTCCTTATCTTCTTAACCATAAATATCAATAGAGGTGCAAGATGACCTATGAATCACTACATGATAAATTTAGAGAATAAAAAAGATGATGGCACTGGGGTAATCCATAGGAATCTCCTAGAAATGCTAGAGATGTGCATAGGCACGTTTGTATGGATATTGTAAACTTCTTTTATGAAAATATCATTCCATTTAAAGTGACAACCTCTACTTGTTTCAACATGATTCATTCCATAGGTTCCTATAATCAAGGCAAAAAAACTGGTCTATTTAAAATTTGAGAATTTGGGTATTGAAGGAGTCGAATAACACTAAAACGGTCATTAGGAAGTTTAGAAGAACTTGGAATCAAATTGACGTGACAATTATATCTTATGGCTGATCAAGAATAGAAGTTTGATCAATATTTTAATTAGCAATCCCCACGGCACTATTTTCTTCAAGTTTGTTGAAGCATAACATCAAGTCAAGGATGCATACTACATATTTGAACTTCTTAATGGCATCATAGAGGAGAATATAAAGCATTTAATAGTATAAGTTGTTACAAATAATGCTAGTGTTTTTGGGTAGCTACAAAAAAAGTGATAGAGAAGAGAGAATATCTATATTTAACTTTTTGATAAACTTGGTGACATGCATCAGCATAAAAAACATTAAACAAAGCAAAAAAGATAAGTAAATTCATTTATAATCATTCATAGGTTTTGGCTTTTATGGGAAGATTTTCAAAAAAAGAAACTTCTATGACTTGTTACAACTAGATTTGCTACAGCCTATTTGACTCTACAAGGCAACCTTTAGATACTATTTTCACATTCACATAATGGCTTAATAATGCAGAGGAAAAAAAAATAGAAGGAAAGAAAGTTAAGTTGTTTGTTTTGAATGAAAGATTTTAGTGTTATTTATGCAATAACAACAATAAAGTCATTGTTTTAAATTTTACGAATGGTTGATGCAGATAAAAAATCAGCTATAGGCTTCATTTAAAATGCAATGGATGAGGTTAAGGAGTTCATAGTCCTAAATTTAGGAAGAGATGAGGTCAAACTAGATAGAGATTTAAGAAATCATAGATGAGAAATGGGAAGTTCAGCTCAATCGACATTTGCATGTCACAGAATATTACCTTAATCCTTAATTTCAATATGCCAAAAATAATTTGCCAAATCCTGAGGTCAAATTAGATTTATAATGTTGAATGGATAGATTTATAGCTAACTCAACTGAAAGGGTTATAGCTGATATGCAACTTAATACTATTTAGAAATAAGAAAAAATTCTTTGGATTACAATAAGCCAAAAATACATTTGCAAAATATTTTGTGGGTAATTTTAATATCGATGGGTTGAAATAAGGAATGATTTTTTTTTTTAATTTAGTAAAATGGTAGATCCAATTTGGTGATTCACAAATTGAGGATAGAAAAAATTCTTTGCATTCCCTTTAAATTTTGTTTTGAGATATATGATATATTTCAACTTCTTTCTCGGAAAAGTCAGGTAGGGTTCTTCTCAGCTGCAATGATTACCGAGGCCCTTACAAGCAAATTCTTGGACAAACAAGTTTGGATCCTTGCAAAGAAAGATGAACTCATGCTTTAAGTTATTAAGCAATTCTATGTAAATATTGAGAAAGAGGACTGATTGACACTCTTTACGACATTGTAACTATATGTGAATGTTTTATATGAATAAATTGAGGATGAGTTAATTGATTTCCTCTAAAACTAACAAGTAACAACAAATCTCTCATCTTTCAGTTATAGCATAATTTGCCAGATAAGACTTATAAATGTTTATATTTTATTTTGATGATAACAAACGTCTATTAAGCATACTTATGTTCATAATTAGGATGACGATGATGATGATTATTATATTTCTGTTGTAAGATTCAACTCCTTACAATCATGTATACTATACTTCTAAAACAAGCTTTTCATTTCATCAAGAGTGAATCATTATATTCATTAATTTTATTTTAAATAAATGAACATTTTTAATGTAATAATATTAAAATACTCATTAATTTTGCATTTTATCATTTCTTAAAATCTAGCAATGTGCACCAGTGCACATCCTATCAAACTAGTGATCAAAGAAAACACTTAAAAGTAAATGCTCGAAGACAAGGAGATGGTGGATTTCTACACGTTCTTAACTTCTTATTCTAATCAATGTTAATATTTCACGAGGATGCAGACAAGCCAAATAAGATATGTTGACAGTAGAATGAAAAACCTGAATATGGCGTTACGATCCAACATGAAAACCTCCATCTGCTCTCCATCCACACCATCCATGACCACCACAAGGCCAAGCTTCTGCCTCTCCCCATCCTCCCACATATCCCCAGCTTCCCTCCACTTGCCACTCCTCAGCCCAAGCACCAATACATCCTTATAATATACATTAGCCGGCACCACGCCAGCCACCGGCCGGTAATCACCATAACCTCCCATTACCCAGAACTCCTCCTCACCCTCCTCAGCACCACACCCTTTGATCAAGTGCCTCCGTCGCAGCCCCCGAAAGAACCCAACGCATCCAGATCGATACCTCGGCAGCCCATTGGAAGGTGCCCACTCCCCCGAATCAACATCAAAGATCTCAACGGAGCTCATGCGGGTGCCGCTGGAGGGGAACATGGCATGACGTGAGCCACCACCAGCGACGATAATGGCGTTGGCACTGGCGATCGGGGCGCAGGCGAAGCTTCCGCGTGGAGAAAGCATGTCAGGAAGGCGAATCCATGGGGCCGAGGAAGCAGAGAGATCCAGGCGGTGGACAGCGGCGGAGGGCAGGGGTAGCCCGAGGGGGTAGGAACGGGCGTCAAAGTGGGAGCCGCCAAGAACATAAAGGTGATGGCCTATAGCGATGGTGGCGAAATTGGAGAGGCCATAAAGGTAAGGGTTGCAGGGTAGAGGGGGAAGCGGCGCCCAGGCGGCGGCGGCGGGGTCGAAGAGGAAGGGGCGGACGACAGACGGGTCGGAGGGGAATAGACAGAGGATGTGGCGAGGGGGGAGGCGGAGAAGGCGGCGTAGAGGGGCTACGGAGGCGTAGGAGAGAAAGACGTACCAAGCGCGGGTGGTAAGGCGTAGGCGGGAGCGGTGGGAGTAGGGGAGGGAGATCAGAATTAGAGCTGCGATGTCGTCGGGGAGGCCGGGAATGAGAGTTAGGGTTAGGGTTCCATCACCGGTGGAAGTAGATGAGGATGATTGTGGCGGATGGTCCATGGCGTGGAGTAAGACACTTACGAGGGATTCCCGTTCGCCGTCCGCCGTCCGCCGTCCGCCGTCCGCCTGCTCTTCGCGGTTTGGTGGGGTCAAAACAGAGCGTGAGAAGTTGATATGAGACTGAGAAAATGTTTCGGGAACTGAACAAAAATCTCAAAATAAAGCGTCCGTTTCGGTAGAAATTATTACGGTTGCACACTCACAGTCCACAAATAGCTCGAACTTTTAGTTGGTTCGGTTGATCGGATGCAAGAAACATTCGGTCTAGTCTAAATACTGTTTAAATCGAGCAGTATATAAGGTATTTTGACTAGGACCGGATGTTCCTCTGCATCCGGTCGGAGGACGTAATAACGTGATACTTAGGTTTTATTTTGGATAATTTTTTATTATTTTTAAATGAAATTTTAGAATAAAAATTTTAATTTTTATTCTAAATTTTTATTTTCATATGTAATAATAAAGTTGTCCAAAGGAAGCATTAATTGAAGATGTTAATTTGAAGACCGTGAATATTCAAATTAATTTTCATTTTTAATTTTTATCTTATCAGCCCGATCGATCTGGCTCAGAGATTCAGCATCTCATTCAAATTTAGGTTTTAGGATTTGCGCTTCATATATCATCAAAAAATTATCTTGATCGGGCACGAATCTAGAGGAAAAATCAAATTGAAAACTTACAAAATTAAATTTAGGATCATCTGAACTCCGATTTCCGCAAACTTATAGTAGAACTTAACGCCTTGAAAATATGAACCCAACGACACCAAATTCGACTCAATCCGAGCCCAAGTGGGTCCAAATCAAAGACTCTAAGCACATTTAGAAAGTTCAAACCATAAATTAAGCGATCAAATGATTTCCAAACCTAACATACTTATAGTCGAATCCAACTACTCAATGAGACAAATCCAACAAGCACAAAATCCATTGAATTTTGACATAATTAATTCACTCAAATATTTTATAAACGGTCTATGATTAAAGGAGTCAATATCAGCTATCCATTCAATCCAATCCCACCATACCCTTGATCTCCCTCATATTTAATGGTCATGTCACTCCTCAAAAATTAAAAATAAATCCATCATTAGCGTTGACCTTGATTTTGCCAACCCCTTGGACCAAGGGGTTGACTTGGTCAATTTGACCAGGCTAGACCCCAAGACTCTTTCTAGTGGGTTTAGGGAGTCAAGCCAAGTCTGCTGAGCCCAAACCCAGGTTCTGGGAACCTGGTTGATCCAAATTGACCCTGATTCCCTTCTACTTGATTTTTTTAATCTACTTAAAGCCTTCTTGGCTCAATCCCTCACCTCCACTAGACTCAGAGGGGCATACCAACTTTGTTGAGCTCAGACATGAGTCCTGTGTCAACTTTGTTGAGCCCAGGTCGACCCATTTAGCTTGTTTGAGTCCAATCTGATTTTAAATCCATTCAAACCTTTCCTTGGCTCAAACCCCACCTAACTTGGACCTATTTGGCCAAGTCAACGATTGACTTGGTCAAACCAAGTCATAATAGGTCAAAATGACCTATTTAAACCTATTAAGAGCCTATTTAATGCTTTAATTGATTCCCATTGATTCTAAATTCAAAATCACGGCTAAATCCCTTGGTTTCCCTCCTATTCAGCTTGAGATCTAATCATACTCGCATATCTAAGGGTTATGGCATTTAAATAGTGAAAATTAGGTTGTTTAGGGGATCTTTTTGTGCTCTTTCTCTCTCTAGACCTCCTCAGCCTGAGATCTTTGAGGTGAGAGCTCCCACGACTTCCCTCCATTGTTTCCAACTCAAACACGACCGTTCTAAGTCGCTGGCGGCGAGAAATCCGACGAATCAAGGCCAAAGCGTTCCAAGATGATTTCATGTCGATCCATCGCGTTTCGAAATGCTATTTCTTCTACAACTAGGAGCGTGGACAGCCTACAAGTGCAACATGCCTACATACGGGTCAAACCGTCTAAAAACGGAGGTGAAATCCCTAAACCTAAGTTAGGGCACTTAGATCTAATTAGCTTTTCATACAGTGCGTTTTAAAATTCAACATCACCTCCCCACCGATGCTCTTCATACATAGATGTTGTGTTTAAAATTTTATTTGATTTCGTTTAGTAAATTGCGAGAACGGGATGATTTTCCATTCTAGGATTTCGGTTTCCGTCCGTGTGAACTGTGCATATTCTAGGATGTTGATCCTCTGATCAAAGGCCCAGATCGCGAAGCTTGATTTGAATTTCTGACCGCAGATCTGATCCCATGGTTCGCTCTTCTGTCCGACGCGATCTTGGTCGACATTTAATCCCGACAACAGAGGATTGAGCTGACATGAGACCGCGCTGACGTGGTTAATGAAACCTTGTCTGCGGTCTCTTCATGCTGCAATGATTGCAGGAGCTCAGACATGAGTCCTGTGTCAACTTTGTTGAGCCCAGGTCGACCCATTTAGCCTGTTTGAGTCCAATCTGATTTTAAATCCATTCAAACCTTTCCTTGGCTCAAACCCCACCTAACTTGGACCTATTTGGCCAAGTCAACCATTGACTTGGTCAAACCAAGTCATAATAGGTCAAAATGACCTATTTAAACCTATTAAGAGCCTATTTAATGCTTTAATTGATTCCCATTGATTCTAAATTCAAAATCACGGCTAAATCCCTTGGTTTCCCTCCTATTCAGCTTGAGATCTAATCATACTCGCATATCTAAGGGTTATGGCATTTAAATAGTGAAAATTAGGTTGTTTAGGGGATCTTTTTGTGCTCTTTCTCTCTCTAGACCTCCTCAGCCTGAGATCTTTGAGGTGAGAGCTCCCACGACTTCCCTCCATTGTTTCCAACTCAAACACGACCGTTCTAAGTCGCTGGCGGCGAGAAATCCGACGAATCAAGGCCAAAGCGTTCCAAGATGATTTCATGTCGATCCATCGCGTTTCGAAATGCTATTTCTTCTACAACTAGGAGCGTGGACAGCCTACAAGTGCAACATGCCTACATACGGGTCAAACCGTCTAAAAACGGAGGTGAAATCCCTAAACCTAAGTTAGGGCACTTAGATCTAATTAGCTTTTCATACAGTGCGTTTTAAAATTCGACATCACCTCCCCACCGATGCTCTTCATACATAGATGTTGTGTTTAAAATTTTATTTGATTTCGTTTAGTAAATTGCGAGAACGGGATGATTTTCCATTCTAGGATTTCGGTTTCCGTCCGTGTGAACTGTGCATATTCTAGGATGTTGATCCTCTGATCAAAGGCCCAGATCGCGAAGCTTGATTTGAATTTCTGACCGCAGATCTGATCCCATGGTTCGCTCTTCTGTCCGACGCGATCTTGGTCGACATTTAATCCCGACAACGGAGGATTGAGCTGACATAAGACCGCGCTGACGTGGTTAATGAAACCTTGTATGCGGTCTCTTCATGCTGCAATGATTGCAGGAGCTCAGACATGAGTCCTGTGTCAACTTTGTTGAGCCCAGGTCGACCCATTTAGCCTGTTTGAGTCCAATCTGATTTTAAATCCATTCAAACCTTTCCTTGGCTCAAACCCCACCTAACTTGGACCTATTTGGCCAAGTCAACCATTGACTTGGTCAAACCAAGTCATAATAGGTCAAAATGACCTATTTAAACCTATTAAGAGCCTATTTAATGCTTTAATTGATTCCCATTGATTCTAAATTCAAAATCACGGCTAAATCCCTTGGTTTCCCTCCTATTCAGCTTGAGATCTAATCATACTCGCATATCTAAGGGTTATGGCATTTAAATAGTGAAAATTAGGTTGTTTAGGGGATCTTTTTGTGCTCTTTCTCTCTCTAGACCTCCTCAGCCTGAGATCTTTGAGGTGAGAGCTCCCACGACTTCCCTCCATTGTTTCCAACTCAAACACGACCGTTCTAAGTCGCTGGCGGCGAGAAATCCGACGAATCAAGGCCAAAGCGTTCCAAGATGATTTCATGTCGATCCATCGCGTTTCGAAATGCTATTTCTTCTACAACTAGGAGCGTGGACAGCCTACAAGTGCAACATGCCTACATACGGGTCAAACCGTCTAAAAACGGAGGTGAAATCCCTAAACCTAAGTTAGGGCACTTAGATCTAATTAGCTTTTCATACAGTGCGTTTTAAAATTCGACATCACCTCCCCACCGATGCTCTTCATACATAGATGTTGTGTTTAAAATTTTATTTGATTTCGTTTAGTAAATTGCGAGAACGGGATGATTTTCCATTCTAGGATTTCGGTTTCCGTCCGTGTGAACTGTGCATATTCTAGGATGTTGATCCTCTGATCAAAGGCCCAGATCGCGAAGCTTGATTTGAATTTCTGACCGCAGATCTGATCCCGTGGTTCGCTCTTCTGTCCGACGCGATCTTGGTCGACATTTAATCCCGACAACGGAGGATTGAGCTGACATAAGACCGCGCTGACGTGGTTAATGAAACCTTGTATGCGGTCTCTTCATGCTGCAATGATTGCAGGAGCTCAGACATGAGTCCTGTGTCAACTTTGTTGAGCCCAGGTCGACCCATTTAGCCTGTTTGAGTCCAATCTGATTTTAAATCCATTCAAACCTTTCCTTGGCTCAAACCCCACCTAACTTGGACCTATTTGGCCAAGTCAACCATTGACTTGGTCAAACCAAGTCATAATAGGTCAAAATGACCTATTTAAACCTATTAAGAGCCTATTTAATGCTTTAATTGATTCCCATTGATTCTAAATTCAAAATCACGGCTAAATCCCTTGGTTTCCCTCCTATTCAGCTTGAGATCTAATCATACTCGCATATCTAAGGGTTATGGCATTTAAATAGTGAAAATTAGGTTGTTTAGGGGATCTTTTTGTGCTCTTTCTCTCTCTAGACCTCCTCAGCCTGAGATCTTTGAGGTGAGAGCTCCCACGACTTCCCTCCATTGTTTCCAACTCAAACACGACCGTTCTAAGTCGCTGGCGGCGAGAAATCCGACGAATCAAGGCCAAAGCGTTCCAAGATGATTTCATGTCGATCCATCGCGTTTCGAAATGCTATTTCTTCTACAACTAGGAGCGTGGACAGCCTACAAGTGCAACATGCCTACATACGGGTCAAACCGTCTAAAAACGGAGGTGAAATCCCTAAACCTAAGTTAGGGCACTTA